ATTTGATATGGAGTTCGCAGGGAAGTGCCCTTGGACCCCTGCTCTTCTCATTTCCATAAATGATTTTCCCAAAAACTTTTCCCAAACACAAAAAACCCTTTCCCTTTGCTGACGACAGATTTGTATCTCCCCCCTAATCTTGCCCCCTAAACCATTGTTAAGAGGGGGGCTGCTAAAAATACACTGGTGAAAATCAACTTGGTTACAGCCAAATAAACTTACACTTAACACGGCAAAACCTTTTACATTACTTTTCGGTCTCCTCAAATTCGCGAGGGTTAGGGGATCAGAGCCTCGCGAATGTTAAAAAAAACCTAAAAGTTTGGTCCCCCAATATATTGTAGGGAAATATAATATAATATGCTTCCTTAATTTAAACCCGTGAAACAAAAATAAAATGCATGAAAAACATAAACTGTATAAAAATTAATGTTATGCTTTAAAAACATGTTTTTTTTTTTTTTTAAAAGTGGCGTCTCCCCCGGGGAGGGTGCCCAAAAAAAAAAAGAAAGAAAATCCCCAAAAAGAAAATACTTTTATATTCAACACTTTCACCCATCGCATTTATGTTTTTGATGGTGTCAAAATCAACAGCTAAAAAGTAACAATAAAGTACACAAATACCCCTAAAAATGCCAATTCCCAAAACCCCCCCCTTTAAATCAGGCTTTACTTCCCATTTCCAGGATCAAGTCCGATATTAAAAATAACGGTTTCCGAATCCCTTCACTAATTTACCCTGCTCACACTCAACAGATGTCAGGCCCCAAGTACAATTGTCCCCCTTCACTCCTATCTAACACGCTCACGCACGCTTGCTGGAAGCCCAAAGCCCTTACCCAAAACCCCCTTCCCCCCTTCCCCAACCCTTTCGAGGAGCCCTACCCCCCCCTTCCTTCCCCATAGTTTTATGTTTTCCCAGTATTCTACTTTGATCCTTCTCTCTAAAGAAAAAACCCCTCAACAAACCCTCTTTGCCCCTGACAAATATTTTTTTAAATCCAACCTTCTCCTAATTTCCAACCCCGAATTTTTGCTTTAATATTTACACCACACATTGCCTTAAAAAGGACATCTCACTCCCTCCAACCCCCCCCCCCGCTGCTGCATTTACCCCCAAAAGCTTCACACCCATTAAGAGTTTTGGTATACTTACTTTCATCATTCCCTTTTTGCCTCTAGATAACTTTTTTGACCCCAAATTTTCCTCAAGCACCACCCCTTTTTTTTTCCTCATAAATTTATGTTTAAACCCTTTCCTTCTAAACCCTCCCCCGACACGTAACCCCCAAGTATCTAAAAAAACATTACTTTTCCCCATACTCCTCCCCCCCAAAATTTGTTTCCCAAATTTTTCTTTATCAAAAATCATTTGACACCCTCACATTACTTTTTCTTTGTTCCTTTCAACTTTCTCCCTTTTACACACTTTCCCCAAAAATCATCCACTAACCTTTGAAAATTTTTCTTTGAATTCCCATAAACAGATCATCAGAAAAAAAGTAACGTTAAATTCCCATTTTGAATTGTTTCCCCATAATTTAAATCCCCCCCCTCTCCCAAACCCCCTAGCATTTATTCCTTTACCCCCATCTATAAAATATTAAACAACCATGGTGAAATTAAACCCTGTCTAAGACCTACTTTTACGGGAAGGTTCCCCCTTTTTTACACCCCTAACCTGAAACCTCATATCCTCATAAAAACTCTTTACGCTTTAATAAATTACCCCCTTTTCCCCCATACTTTCAACATCTGCCCATTGTCTCTATCCCCCTTATATATGCCTTTTCTAAAACCTTTAAAAGCAATAAAAAAATTCCCATCTTTATCTAAATATGTTTTTACATATTGCTTCAATGTAAACACCTGATCTAACATCCCTACCCCCTCTAAAACCTCCTTTCTATCCCCATCCTCTTTTGTCTTCTTAATTCTTTAATTTTTAACCCTCCGTACATTTTCCTGGTATACCCGTAAATTATTCCTCTATAATTTTTACGTCCTTTTGTCCCCCTTTTCCCTTTATATAAAGGGGCTATACATGCTCTCTGCCCAAACCCTAGGAAATTTTCCCCCTTTTACATTTATTTAACAAAATACCCAAACCCTCCAAACTATATCCCCCCCCGCTTTTAACATTTTGTATGATCCCATCAGTTCCAGCTGCTTTACCCCCTTTCATTTCGTATGCCTCAGTCCTCCCCCACACTTCATTCTGCTTTCTTCACTCCCAAAAGATGGTTTCCTCCCGACCAGTGCATGAAATTTCTGCCCCTGTTTTTCCCTTTAAAATTTAAAAATTTCCCCAATATTTTCCCCCATCTACCCAATACCTCCCTTCCCCATCTTCTAACTCCCCTACTTTTTTTTAATGAAAATCCCTATTTTCCCCGGCTTTTAACTTGTTTAAAACATCCAAAAAATTTTTTTTATTTTCATTAAAATTTTTTGAAGTGCCTCTCCCCCTTTCATTGCTCTCCTTTTTTACTCTCTAACACTCTCTTTACCTTTCTTTTTCTCTCCATATCTCTCTTCTTTTAACACTTCTGCTTTGTAAAACCTCTCATAGTACCTTTTTTCTTTTATCACACCCTTTTTTCTTCATCATTCCCCAATCATCTTTTCCTCCTGCCCCCCCTCCTATACCACAAACTTCTGCCCCACATTCTAATACTGCATTTTTAAAAATTCCAACCCTCTTCAACCCCCCCCACTAATCTTTTCATAGCCCACCTTTCTGCAATGTCGCTTATATCTCCCCCACTTCCTCCTCCTTAGTTTTCATTTCACCCCCCTCTTACTTTTTGTTGCCACCTTCCCCTTTTCCCAATCTACCTCTTACTCTAACTGTAGCAACAACTAAATATGATCCGATATATCAGTTGCCCCTCTATAAACATGTACATCCTGGAGCCTACCATCAACCTTTTATCCCCAATACATAATCTAATAAACTACTTTCTTTTACGTGCTACATCATACCTTGTATATTTATTTATCCTTTTTTTTCATAAAATATGTATTACTTATTACCAAATTTCTTTCTACACATAGCTCAATTAAAGGCTCCCATTTACATTTACCCCTGGCACCCCAAATTACCTACTACTCCTTCCATAACATTTTTACCAACTTTAGCATTGAAATCCCCAACCCACCATTACTCTCACACTTGATTCAAAACTCCCCACGCATTACTCAACATTTCCCAAAATTCTCTCTCTCCCTCTACACTTCTCTCGTCTCCGGGTGCATACACGCTTATTATAACCCATTTTTCACATCCAATCTTTATTTTACTCCACATAATCCTTGAAATAATACATTTATAGTCCCTCTTTTCCTGCCTTTGCTTATCCTTCAACATTATTGCTACTCCTTCTTTAGCTCTAACTCTTTTTGAAACCCTGACCTAATCCCATTTATTTTCCTCTCCACTGAAACTCTCCCACCCCCTTCAGCTTTGTTTCACTTAAAGCCAGGACATCCAGCTTCTTCTCATTCATAACATCCCCAATCATCTCTTTCTTATCATCTGCACAACATCCACGCACATTCAGACTTCCCACTTTGACAATTTTCTTCTTCTTATTCTTTTTAGTAATCTTTACAGGAAAAGGGGTTACTAGCCCATTGTTCCCGGCATTTTAGTTGACTTTTACAACACGCATGGCTTACGGAGGAAAGATTCTTATTCCACTTCCCCATGGATATAAAAGGAAAATTAATAAGACCAAGAACTATTAAGATAAAATTAAATACCACAGACTCCACCATTGCCTCCACCAATGCCTCCACCACTTCCTCAACCACTGCGAGTCCTACTACCCTCCCTCCGACCCCCGGGAACTAGCAGCCAGCCCTCCCACCACTCAGTGTGGTGAGTGTTTTGTTTGTTCATTATTTGCTATTAAACTACAGTATAAATAATGTAAACCCATTCATGACTGCATATTGGAATGGCTATTCGGACAGGTATTGGACGGTGACATCATGTGTTTACTCTTGAACACAGCAAAGAATCAAGCATTTCTGTTACTGCTAATAATAACAATAGTAATAATAATAATAATAATAATAATAATAATAATAATAATAATAATAAAATAATAATAATAATAATAATAATAATAATACGATAAAATTTGAAGAAGGAAATTGTACAAAAATACGAGGGAGTGGTTGACACATCGTCAGTGTGGCTTTGTTTAGGTTGGACGTAAACATTTGTCTCCCTGCTCTTCCAAACATTTCACAATAATTTTAGCAGTTTTGGGGAGTGGTATTTAAAAACATATATGTTATAAAAATAATATTTCATATTATTAATAACATGTATTATTATTATTAATAACATGTATGTTATTAAGTACCACTGCCTCAATCGCTGCCTCAACAGCTGCCTCAATAGCTGCCTCAATCGCTGCCTCAATCGCTGCCTCAACAGCTGCCTCAACAGCTGCCTCACCCACTGCCTCAATCGCTGCCTCAACCACTGCCTCAACCACTGCCTCAACAGCTGCCTCAACAGCTGCCTCAACAGCTGCCTCAATCGCTGCCTCAACCACTGCCTCTACCACTCCAGTTGCACTCAATCTACAAGCACCAAACAATGAATTATTGTGAAATGTTTGGAAGAGCAGGGAGACTAATGCTCACTCCAACATAAACAAAGCCACATTGACGATGTGTCAACCACTCCTCGATTTTTGTACAACTTCCTTAAATTTATATAGTATTTATTATTATTATTATTATTATTATTATTATTATTATTATTATTATTATTATTACTATTGTTATTATTAGCAGGTAGCAAAAATGTTTGATTCTTTGCTGTGTTCAAGAGTAAACACATGATGTCACCGCCCAAAATACCTGTCCGAAATAGCCCATTCCATATGCAGTCATGAATGGGTTTACATTATTTATACTAAAGTTTAATAGCAAATAATGAACAAACAAAACACTCACCACACTGAGTGGTGGGAGGGCTGGCTGCTAGTTGCGGGGGTCGGAGGGAGGGTAGTAGGGACTCGCAGGTGGCGGGAAACTTGAATATGAATTGGCGGCTGGGAATTTGGTGGCTGGGAATTTGGCGGTTGGGAATTCGCGAATGTGTGAAGCCCGTGAAAGCTGAAAACGTGAATGTTGAGGGAGACCTGTATTATGTTTGGTAGCAGAGCAGGTGTTGCACAACTTAACATTAAGATTGACAACACTCTAATTGCCAGACATAATGAGGGCAAATTCCTTGGCCTATACCTCAACAACAACCTAAATTTCAGCACCCATATCCAACACATAACAAAAAAAAAGTATCCAAAACGGTGGGGATCCTCTCCAAGATACGATACTACGTACCACAAACTGCCCTTCTCACACTATACCATTCACTTATATATCCATACCTCACCTATGCTATCTGTGCTTGGGGTTCAACTGCAGCAACACACCTAAAGCCAATAATAAACCAACAAAAAGCCGCTGTAAGAATAATCACTAAATCCCATCCCTGGCAACACACCCCCCCACTCTTCATAGATCTAAACTTACTCCCTGTTCAGAACATCCACACTTACTACTGTGCAATCTATATCTACAGGACCTTAAATTCCAATATTAACCTTGACCTAAAACACTTTCTTGAATTGTGACAGGATCCACGGGCCCATAACACCAACACAAAACATCTCCATGACTTTCCCCCGTGTTCGACTAAACCTTTACAAAAATTCAATGTATTTCAAAGGACCTAAATCTGAAACACCCTACCTGAAAACTCTAGAACTGCAGACACATTCATCACTTTCAAAGCTACAGTTAGAAAACATCTTATCTCCCTGATCCACCCCGACAGCTAACTACATGATAACCACCTGGTGGTTCAAAATTACACTCACTCACCCATTGACTATACACCCAGAAATACTAATTTTAATCTTAAAATAATAAATCCTAACTAGTCATAAGTTTGCCTATGATACTCAAATATAGTCACCTTGTACTGTGCCAAAACAAAAGCATTCACATTGCTAAACTCACAAATTATGATGTAGTCACTTAGCATTAATACTATAATCTGTAAGGATTTAATGTTAAGAATTAATCTAAGTCTGCTCGAAATGCCTAGCCATGCTAGGTGTCCTAGTGGCCCCCTCTGTAATTAGTATTTTATAACATGTAAACCACAAAATACCCAAAACCTGTAAACCCAACATTGTAACCATTACAGAGAATAAACTTGAATTGAATTGAATTGAATTGAATTGAAAAAAGAGGTGTATTAAAAAAAAGATATACAGTACAAAAATACATAAAACATAGCCATAATTTATATTATTGTTTTCCATAAAAAAATCTGATAAGTTGAAATGTCAGGCACGCAGTTTGTTTGTAAGTTTGAGATTTCCTAAAATAATTCTTGTTTCGGTATCTGAGTCTGGGTGGCTTAGGGAGCAGTCAGGTGTAACATATCGACTTCTTTATTTTTCAACCGATTACGTTCATTTTTGGTGTACTATTAGAAGCTTATATAAAACATCCTGTGCTGAAGTTTCAATCATATCGGCCAAAAAGTAAATGAAATATGCAAAATTTACGAAAAATTGCATTTGGCAGGTGAGTCCTTCTCAGCGGTACTTGGAAAAGTGGTTTTGACACTTGCTGCTGATAGAACACCTCTAATTCCATCATGAGATACGTACCTTTTCTAAAATAAACCTTATCTTCATGCTAAAAAAAAATAAGTTTCATAACTTTTTTGTCATATTGGAAGATGTCGGTCTTGTTTCCCACATAAATCAAAAAATATTTGGGATAGTTCAGAAAGGTACGTATGTTCGGGGAAAATCAATCATTCTCCTATGTTTGTTGTGAAAATCAAGTCAATTCATTCATAAATAAGGATGCTATTCACATAAATAGGTAAATAAGTTACTTTCGAGATATAGGCCGAAGCGCGCGGCACCCCCGCTGCCCGGGAAATAATTTTTTTCCCCGAAAAAATCGCCTTATTTTACACTTTTTTTTCCGCGACCTACGAGTGTTTATTACAGTTAACCATTGTAAATCCGTTTTCTATCATCACTGATGAGAGAGGTCGACCCTCTCTCCCCTTTCAGGGAAATATCGATAAAAATTTTTTTCCCTTTGGGGGCGTCATATATGCTACATATTATTTTTTAAGGTGTACTTTTTATGTTTATATGCTATTATATTGCATTATGTCATAATAGATCAATTGTGATAGATAAATAAGCCTTATAATTGATATTAGCGTGGGTATGGAATTTTTTTGTTGGCTGGAGGTGTCGGCCATTTTAATGCAATATACCCAGGGTACCTTGTTTGGGTTTTACTTGATCATATTAGCTCCACCCACTCTGGCATGTTTCTCAGATGGTGAATTTGTTTTATATTAGACATAAAGATATAAGAAAACGATAAAAATAACACGGGGAAAAACGTAACAAAAACGTCAACAAAGCTGAGTCAGCGCTTCTTGCGCACTATGTCGCGTCAGCACTGTCACCATGCCTGTTATAAATGGCTGTAATTCCTTTTAGAAACATCGTACAAGGATAATAATTATACCAGAGTGTAGCCAGAAAGTTCAGCTATTTTTTGGTAACAATAACTCCATTTTCATATTTTTTCGATTTTTTTTTTGCACCGCGCACGTGAACCTGACTGCTCCCATATGTCCTTGATTTTCATGCAGTGATAAGACCTGAAACATCAAAAAATAATTCCCCTTATAGCTCTATGTCAGTCAAAACTTACTTGAAGGGTTTAAATGAGTCCTTCACTGGCCCATTCCTCTTGTACTTCTTCTCCAGCATGTCATTTCGTTTTGATCCAAAGTCCTTTCTTTTGTTTTGTGCTTCACGTTCAGTGTCTTGAATATCTAGATGTTTCAGTTCTCGTGCAATTGCATCTGCTGGATCTTCTTCTTCACTTCTGTTTTAAGTGAAAAATATACTATTGCATCAAGTCAGAATCAGGAATAAACAAAATATTATTATTAATATTATTTCTCCTAAAATGAAAACACAAGTGTGTCATGAACATAAAAGTTTTGGGTTATGAATCCTTCAAAAGATAAAAGAAAAACATAAGTAAACAAAGATCAGGTGGTGCAATGTTTATGGTTGTGTCAACAAGACAGGTATTGGAACATGGGCAAGGTGGTATTAACTACTGAAATAATGTTTTGTACAACCCAAAAAATTTATTCGTATTACAAAGTTACATATTAAGTGTTATCAATTTCTCTGCATATGACAGGAATATAATAAAATATGTTGAGACAGTGAAGTGCATTTGCATGAGATGGTCAAGGACACCATTTAATTAAATCTTAATAGAGTTTCTAAGATGCTCTTAATTAACCGCTGAGCAGGAACCAAACTGTGTACAACATTCTGGTGTGAAGGACAAAACTGTAAAATGTTTTTGTGTGCAGAATCAAACTGTGTACAATATTCTAGTGTTTAGAACCAAACTGCTTATGACAATCTAGTTTGCAGGGACCAAACTATGCTCAATGTTCTAGTTAGAAAGGACTAAACTGTGAATGACTTTCTAGTTAGCAGGGACCCAAAATATGTAAAAATTTCTAGAATGTATAATGTAGGTGCCTTCAGAGTTGCTGCTCCCCACCATTTCATGCCTCAACTCAACTGTCTGGGAGTCTCAACACCTCGTCACACCTAGGAGAAAATCTAGGTCCATGTGGGGCCTAGCAGCACATCATGGTAAGAGTACCTCAGCAGGACATGTCAGCAGTGCAATATAATACAACTTTATCTCTTTTCTGCAGTATACAAAATGTAGCTTATATGTAATGAAATGTTAATCATAAAAGAAAGCCACTAGCATGCAGTGCATTTCAGGCAAATTAACCATAATGCTTACAGACTACTTAACAACTAGATAGCAGACTGATGCCTTATTCATACAGATGGCCATTACTAATCCAGCATCACTGGGACCTGTAGTGTGCCGGATTAGTGAGTTTGTCGGATTACAGAGTGGTTAGGTTAGAATACACTAAATTAACCTATCAATAGAAACTCTTTCTACTACTACATCTTCCTCATTATCATCACTGCTTTTTCCTACAGTGGCTTGCTACTGTGGATTTACAACCATCTGCACAGTTTCTGAGTCAGTATAATGATAAAATTTGAAATTATGCTAGCTGAAATTAGTGACAGATTACTGATGGAATTGGAAAAATGGCTGCTGGATTAGTGATGGCCGACCTGTACCACATATATTACAATTTCAAGTTACTACAATAATGGAATTCAGCCAAGGCACACTAAGTAACTTTAACCTAGGATAACCAAATAAAATCTAACAATGTGGCTATTTCCACACAAAAATTGCAATACAGGTCTCCCTCAACATTCACGTTTTCAACTTTCACGGGCTTCACACATTTGCGAATTCCCAGCCGCCAAATCATATTTAAGTTTCCCGCCACCTGCGAGTCCCTACTACCCTCCCTCCGACCCCGGCAACTGGCAGCCAGCCCTCCCACCACTCAGTGTGGTGAGTTTTTGTTTGTTCATTATTTGCTATTAAACTACAGTATAAATAATGTAAACCCATTCATGACTGCATATTGGAATGGCTATTAGTAAAGGTATTAGACGGTGACATCATGTGTTTACTCTTGAACACTGCAAAGAATTAAACATTTCTGCTACAGCTAATAATAACAATAGTAATAATAATAATAATAATAATAATAAATAATAATAATAATAATAATAATAATAATAATAAATATGATATAATTGAAGAAGGGAAAATTTTACAAAAATACGAGGGAGTGGTTGACACCAAACGTCAGTGTGACTTTTTTTATGCTGGAGAGAACATTAGTCTCCCTGCTCTTCCCAAAAATTTTACAATAATTCATTGTGTTTGGTGCTTGTAGACTGAGTGTGGGCTGGAGTGTTAGAGGCAGTGATTGAGGCAATGGTATTTAATAACTACATGTTAAATAATACATGTTATTAATAATATGTACTATTATTATTTATAAACATATAATTATTAAATACATGCATGTTAATAATAATACATGTTATTAATAATAACATGTACTATTATTATTTATATCATATATGTTATTAAATACCACTGCCTCAACCGCTGAATTATTGTGAAATGTTTTTGGAAGGCAGGGAGACTAATGTTCTCTCCAGCATAAACAAAGTCACACTGACGATGTGTCAACCACTCCCTCGTATTTTTGTACAATTCCTTCTTCAATTATAAACGTATTTATTATTATTATTTTTTATTATTATTATTATTATTATTACTATTGTTATTATTAGCAATAGCAGAAATGTTCGATTCTTTGCTGTGTTCAAGAGTAAACACATGATGTCACCGTCTAATACCTTTCCTAATAGCCATTCCAATATGCAGTTATGAATGAGTTTACATTATTTATTCTGTATTTAATAGCAAATAAGAACAAACAAAACACTCACCCCCACTGAGTGGTGGAGGGCTGGCTGCTAGTTGCGGGGGTCGGAGGGAGGGTAGTAGGGACTCGCAGTGGTGGAGTCTGTGGTATTTAACAACATACATGTTGTTAGCATACATGTTATTAAATAACATACGTTATTAAAGCATAACATGTATATATTTAGTACAATTTACGACGTTTTCATGTATTTTATGATTATTCATGGTTCAACAAGTTAAGGAAGCAGTATTGTAATATATTTCCCTACAATATATTGGGGCACCAAACATTCACGGTTTTTCAACATTCGCGAGGCTCTTGATCCCCTAACCCTCGCGAATGTTGAGGGAGACCTGTATTATGTGATTCCTTGTACATAGTGTGAGGAGACTAAAGCAACCAAAAGAAATTAGAAAAAAATATTTATTTGCATCAGTTCATATACAGTGGAACCTCAGTTGTCGAACAGACTAGATGTCAAACAAATCAGTTTTTGAACAAGGAATTTGGTCTTGGTTTTTGTATATGGTCTTTGTTGTTGACCAACAACGCTTGGATCACGTGATCACCAGACAAGAGTCCACAGCATGGGTCTCAGTCAATATAGAAACTAACATGAGTGCTGTAAACATCTTTTGAGCTCTTGCTGTTCATCTTGTGAAGGTAATGAAACCAAAAGTATGAAACTTGATATAAAACTTACGGAATTACGCTATCACAAAGTTAGCAATCTTGGCAATATTTATGCACCGCCGATTTTGCCTATTTCAAGCCCTATTTTGGGCCAATTCCATTGTTCCAGTAGACCAAACTCACATCTATCTTGCTGGAACTCATTTTAGACTAGTGATTAAGTACAGCCTCTCCTCACTTAACAACAGGGTTCTGTTCCTAAGACCATGTCGCTAAACGAATTCATCACTAAGCGAGGAGCATACTATAATGGTTGTGAGTTTGTGTCAACCATCTTTGATATTGTTTTAACCCTTTGACTGTCGCAACCTCAAATCCTGAAGTGTCTCCTGGTGTCGAAAAATATTCGAAAAAAAAAAAGTTGTTTTCTTATGAAAATGTAAAGATTAATTTTCTGATTGTTTTAAGCCCCCAAATTTTTTTTTGCGATCAATACTTACCGAGATATAGAGGCGTAAAGCTGGCAGAAAATGAGCTGCATATGGCAACAGCGGCAAATGCCACTCACTCAGTAAAGTTTGGTTTACTTGCATTTGAAGGTTTCTTGCTTTTTTCACTATTTTATTTTTTCACATAACTTATGTGGCCTGTGAGACCAAAGTGTAGTGCAATGTTCATATATACATTCGTTGAATGTAACACAATTATAGCAAAAACACTAGTATCATCATATTGTTTACAAAACTTGTTTACACAAACAATATAAAAAAATTTTTATAACTATTCAGGAGCAAGGGGCTAGTAACCCCTTCTCCTGTATATATTACTAAATGTAAAAGGAGGAACTTGTGTTTTTCCTTTTGAGGCACCCTGCCTCGGTGGGATATGGCCAGTGTGTTGAAAGAAATTAAGTTTATAACTATTGTTCTTATAGGTAGTAGGTTGGTAGACAGCAACAGCGCAGGGAGGTACTACCATCCTGCCAAGTGAGTGTAAAACGAAAGCCTGTAATCATTTTACATGATGGTAGGATTGCTGGTGTCCTTTTTTCTGTCTCTTAAACATGCAAGATTTCAGGTACATCTTGCTACTTCTACTTACACTTAGGTCACACTACACATACATGTACAAGCATATATATACACACACCCCTCTGGGTTTTCTTCTATTTTCTTTCTAGTTCTTGTTCTTGTTTATTTCCTCTTATCTCCATGGGGAAGTGGAACAGAATTCTTCCTCCGTAAGCTATGCATGTTGTAAGAGGCGACTAAAATGCTGGGAGCAAGGGGCTAGTAACCTTTTCTTCTGTATAAATTACCAAATTTAAAAAGAGAAACTTTCGTTTTTCTTTTTGGGCCACCCTGCCTTGGTGGGATACGGCCGGTTTGTTGGAAAAAAAAAAAACTTTTGTTCTATAATATATATACATATGTACAATCACTGGACACTTCCGTAGAACTGCTACTGCTTGTGGAATTCTTTGAAACATGGGTGCATGCACGATGGTGTTTTACACTCTTCCACATCAAACAAGTGTCTCTGCATTTTTGTGGGCATTCTGTGGTATGCGCACAGACATAACACCTCTTCTGAGCATTTTTCTTGAAAGCAGTAGGAGGCAGAGGTATGGGGTACTGATCACCAGGCCTCAGACGAGATGGCATGTGTTGGTAATTTCGTGGGCGCTGGTCTATTGCAAGTGTTGTTCCTTGGTACTTGAATATTATTTGTCCGATAACTGACAAACAAAATACACCATATTTGGGTTTGTTGTTGGTCTTCAACCTATAGATATTATAAGCATTTAGCATGGAAATGTCAAGATGGAAAAAAG